AATTAATCTTTGTAAGCGATACCATTTGGCAGATCTAGACAAGTTTCCATATTTGGTAATATTATAAAGTGGGGAAGGTACAATGGCTGTAATAATTCATTAATTGGATGCATTTATCATTTTGCACCCCAAATAGCGTACTGAGAAGTGACACCTTAAACTGCCCTTTTTATACACATTAACAGTAGTCATACCATACATTGTACTGTACATATGTGATAACATTTAGTGTAAGTTTTTTTAAAATCCTGTAAAAACTGTTGAAAATCATTGAATAGACTGTTGTGAAATTTTCTACAATTTTTAGTAGCCCTGATTTATCTTGAACAAATTCTTTAGTGGTGATTACCCTGCTGTTTGAATTTAGGTTAAAATATCACTGGGAGTGACCTGAGTGGGTCATATCGTTTTTATTGTTTTTCTAAGAAAGATTAAGACATATTGAAAATGTACCAACCATAAAATGAATAAATGTTGATAGATGCATTAATATGATTATCTAATATGAATTTAAAGCATAATTTCCCCTTCCATTTATTATTGGCTAAAAACAACTTAACTGATTGAATATTGGTTGTTCCGGGATACACAAGTTACCGCAGAAAATATCTTTATTTATTATGGAAGATGCCACTACGACAGTTTTAATTTTATTGATTTTCATAATAAACAATTTTTTTTTTTTGAAAAATTTGCAATAGATATATATAAGGAACATTGATATTTTCCAAAAACATCAACTTTTTTCAACTCAAACGGTAAAATAATGATAGAAAAATAGATATAGATCATGTATTAGTGTTATGTACTTCATTTGGTATAATTCCCTAGAGCTATATACGTAACGCACCGGAAAACGGTGTTTAGCTAGGTTTTCGTAAAGGTCAATCACTTTATACCCTTGATTGAAATTATATCACTTTCAAAAAAAAATAGTAATTAGTTTATCGATAAAAATATCTCAAGTTCAATAATTCTATCAATATCTAAGAAGTACGATTCCACAAACATTGTTTCTCTTCTTTCTCAAATTTTAAATACGACAGAAATGTATGGTAACAATTGAGGTCTAGTGAGGAAGAAAGAGATTTAGGTATATTATATGATTAGGATTTGAAATTTCGACATCACATAAGTAATTGTATCAATAAAGCAAATAAAATAACTTGATTGGTTAGAAATACCTTCTTACATGTAAATATAAAGCATTTCGGAAACTTTATTAAACACTTATAAGACCACACCTTGAATATGAAAATATTATTTAGAGTCCAAGATTTAAAAAAGATATTGAAGCAGTCGAAAGAGTTCAAAAAAGAGCAACAAAGATGGTTCAATGTATCAGAAATTTATCATATGTAGAAAGATTAAAAATTTTGGAAATTCCTACTTTGGATTACAGAAGATTTAGAGGTGATATCATACAAGCATGGAAATTATTAAATGGGAAGGAAGATATAGATTATAATGTATTTTTTGAAAAAGCACAACTTGATAATCATCACATCAGAGGAAATTCCATGAGGTTGAAAATAAAATCATGTAAAAAGGAAATAAGAAAACATTTTTTCTCATTAAGAGTAGTACCAGAATGGAATAGATTACCAGATACTGTAGTATGTTCACCAACGCTGAATTCGTTAAAAAACAGACTCGATAAGGTTATAATAAACAAATTATATACTGTTGTACCAGATAATAATTATTGGGTGTCAGACCTTGAGGGGTTTACAAGAGATTTCTGATCTCGCGACCCTACGCTGGATAAAGAAAGATAAAAGATAAAGAATACAGAAAAACATACGAGCCCTGTCACGATAAAACCAACATAGTGCGTTTGCGACCAGCATGGATCCAGACCAGCCTGCGCATCTGCGCAGTCTGATCAGGTTCCATGCTATTCGCTATCAGTTTCTCTACTTGTAATAGGGATTGTAAGCAAACAGCATGAATCCTGATCAGACTGCACGGATGCGCTGGCTGGTCTGGATCCATGCTGGTCGCAAACCCATTATGTTGGTTTTGTTGTGACGCGGCTCGTATATAGAACAAGAATGTCGAACGACACATATACCCCCCTTTCTAGCCATTGACTCACATAATTGGTAATTTTATTAAAGAAACTTGCCAAAAATGGGTACATGGAAGTGTTCAATTATGGAAAAATCAACGGAAACCATTTTGACATTTAAGGCCCATGTGACATTGACCTTTGACCTAATGACCCCTAAATCAATAGAGGTCATCTAATACTTATGACCAATAACTAGGTGAAATATGAAGACTGTGATGAATACTTTTCAAGATAATCAGCGGAAACCCTTTTGACATTTAAGGCCCCTGTGACCTTGACCTTTGACCTAGTGACCCCAAAATCAAAACGTGTCATCTACTAGTGATGACCAATCACCATGTGAAATATGAAGACTTTGTGATGAATACTTTTCAAGATAATCAGCGGAAACCATTTTCACATTTTAAGGTCCCTGTGACCTTTGACCTAGTGACCCCAAAATCAATAGGGGTCATCTACTAGTGATGACCAATCACTATGTGAAATATGAAAACTTTGTGATACATACTTTTTCAAGATTATATTAAGCTGAAATTATACTGACATTTAAGGCCCCTGTGACCTTGACCTTTGACCTAGTGACCCCAAAATCAATAGGAGTCATCTACTAGTTATGACCAATCACTATGTGAAATATGAAGACTTTGTGATAAATACTTTTCAAGATAGTAAGTGGAAACCATTCTGACATTTAAGCCCCTGTGACCCTGACCTTTGAACAAGTCACCCCAAAATCAATAGGGGTCATCTTCTACATATAACCAATAGCTATGTAAAATATGAAGACTTTGTGATAGTTTTCAAGATAATGAGCAGAAACCATTCTGACATTTAAGGTCCCTGTGACCATGCCCTTTGACCCCAAAATCAATAGGGTCATCTAATGGTTATGACCAATCAGTAAGTGAAATATGAAGACTTTGTGTTAAATACTTTTTAAGATAATTAGCAGAAACCATTTTGACATTTAAAGCCCCTGTGACCTTGACCTTTGACCTAGTGACCCCAAAATCAATAGGGGTCATCTACTAGTTATGATCAATGACTGTGTGAAATATGAAGACTTTTGTGATACATACTTTTCAAGATAATCAGCGGAAACCATTTTGACATTTAAGGTCCCTGTGACCTTTGACCAAGTGACCCCAAAATCAATACGGGTCATCTACTAGTGATGACCAATCACTGTGTGAAATATGAAGACTTTGTGATGAATACTTTTCAAGATAATCAGCGGAAACCATTTTGACATTTAAGGCCCCTGTGACCTTGACCTTTGACCTAGTGACCCCAAAATCAGTAGGAGTCATCTACTAGTTATGACCAATCACTATGTGAAATATGAAGACTTTGTGATGAATACTTTTCAAGATAATCAGCGGAAACCATTTTCACATTTTAAGGTCCCTGTGACCTTGACCTTTGACCTAGTGACTTTTGTGATACATACTTTTTAAGATAATCAGCGGAAACCATTTTGACATTTAAGGTCCCTGTGACCTTGACCTTTGACCTAGTGACCCCAAAATCAATAGGGGTCATCTACTAGTTATGACCAATCACTATGTAAAATATGAAGACTTTGTGATAAATACTTTTTAAGATAATCAGCGGAAACCATGTGGTCTACCGACGGACAGACCGACAGACGGACCGACAGACAGACAGACCGACATTAGCAAAACAATATACCCCCTCTTCTTCGAAGGGGGGCATAATAAATAAAACAGGTTTATTACATGTATTATCTAATGTATGATCTATTTTTTTAAATAATGCTACATTATTAAAAAAATGAATTAAACTTTTTTATTGTTTCTATATCCATTATTTATTGATATTATATCGGTTTCACGTTAAATCTACATTGGATTTACAGTGATTCAACATTACATTTTGCTTTAATATTCAACAATAATTCTACATTTATTTTACATCAATTCTTCATTGTATTTACAGGTGTAACATCAGTATAAACAAGGACACTTTATTGTAATGCCTGGCTATGGCTTCTGCTCAACCTGGTTCATCATCTTCAGCTCAAGCATTTGATAATCGGGTATTTTTGTTCCGCCTTCAAATGCTTATTATAGATGGTGGACTTACAGTTTTAAGAAATTATGTAGATCAGGCACTTTCAGCTCAATCTATTACTCTTAGCGGATGTCTTGCTAATGAAAAGACCGCTATCAATGATTTGAAGAGACGCAAAATAATAACACAGGTGCAATATGATTTATTGTTTCCACCGAGTGGCACTGCTTCAACGTCAGATTTGGACATCACACTTATCATTTGTCTCATGAGAAACTTAAAATGTTTCAAGTTAAATAAAAAGTTTAATTGGAACATTTCACCAGGACAAAGTGATACTTCCATCGAAGCAGACATTTGTAGACTGAAGAATTACAGGAACGAAGTAAGATTTTGAATAGGCTTTTGTTATTTTCAATTTTAAAGTGAATCCAGGTAGCAATTAATAGTAATTAATTTGTCCTATTGTACCGGTATTTGTGCAGAAAAAATGTCACTCGAACGTAAAACATGGGCAGTATTCAAAGAGTTCTTAAAGTAATTTTGAATATTTGCTATTCTATTAGGACGATTTGTTTCATTATTCCGGGATTTCAATCGAGATATTTTAAAATTGCATAAGAATTGATATATTGAGTAGAAAAATGAATAGATTTTTTGTTTGAATGACATGCCTTTTGTAAGAACAATGTGTATGCCTCCGAGCATATAGTAATTGAACCGTCCGTCTGTCCGTGCGAGGTTTACCTTAAACGGCAAGTTTGAAGTTCTTCCTGTACCAATGGTTTTGTAATTTTCACACTTACTAATCAATATAAAGTGCATGATCTTGGTAAGTTACATAACCATGGTTTCCATTTTTACCTTTCAGCACTTTGAAAGAGAATATGGTTAACCTAAACCTGTCAGTTGGATAAATCTTAAGTTCTATCTATATTAATGGCTTCATAATTTCACACTTACTTGTCAATACAACGTTCATGATAGGACTCGGCCCGGTGAATTTTCGTACTATTAGTTCTATAGTAAATCAGTCAAATTTGAGGTTTAATTCTGGATTCCACTGTTCTTGATGAATTATATACTGTCTTCAACTTTAAACATTAACACTATCTAAGTCAAATGATGCCCAAAATATAATAGGTTAGCCATCTACTTTTTTCAGAAATCTTCATTCTGTTGTAACACTGTTTAAATTCACCACTTTAAAAACTCCTGACAGCTGGTGGGTAGTACATCTTTAATCCTTCCACCAACAAATGAGTTCCTGGAGAATACACAAAAAACAACTTTTACAGTCATCATATAACACACAAAAACTACACACATGCAATAAATACACTTTAATTATGACCAATCTAACAGACTAACTAGAGATGACTTAAATTGGGCCATTTCATAATTTTAAAGAACTACTTTCTAGACTACAATGGGTTCGGTCTAATTCTGTACCGGGTTGAGACCTAAATGAATCCAAAATTTAAGTTAAGCCAAACTTTATACTCATTTCCTAGTAATTTAGTGTCATACAAATACAGTCATATAGGTTTGACATGTCTCTAACAAATTACATTAATGCGGTACAATTTCTTAAATATGAACCTTCATGCGAAAAGTCAGGCTCGGCCAATAGAATTTTACGCAAAAATTTATATTACAAATTCTGTCATATCTTTTGATTCTGTAAATGGATTTTCTTTGAATAAAGTTTAATGTTACCGGCTAATGTCATACAGTTACTTTTATGAAAGAATAAGACCTTATTGCTTAAAAATTGTAATAGAAACTCAATTTCTTTAAATGAGAGCATGAAATTTTGGGTTAAAATACAAGTAATCACAATTAAATGTGCTTTTTTCAATTTTTTTTCCTTCAATATTGTAATAAAACTTACTGATTATGATTTTTACCTATATACCATGGTAAATAAAGTAAAGAACCAACATACACACCCTACATTGTTTGCTTAAGATATCAATAAAGACAAACAGAGGTAATCTTAAGGTTAGCAAAGAGGTTACCAAATCACCATGGGCTATGTCTTTGACAAAGTAAGATTAGCCAACTCTCACACAAATAAGGCTTTAAAAAGATGACACATACCGTCTCCCACTTTAAATCATTGAGAAGTCTTAATATAGTCAGAATTAGAGATATTTTCTCCTGAAATACATCAAAATAACTACCAAATATTGCCCGAGCATTGGGAGGCGCTACCGTCAATAGCTGAAGTTTCAAACTAGACATAAGTTATTACCTTCTCAATGTGTCCTGACAAAGCTGCTGCCAAACAGAGCTGAAGGAGTCCTTCCATAGATCTTTAACAGGATAAGGTAAGGTCATATACTCAAACCCAGGCTTTGGTAACTGCATGGTCTGAAAAAATATGCAACACTAGTACATGCCTAAGAAAATTATAAGGGGCATTTATGCTGTAATTTTATTATCTGAAAAAGAAAGAAAATAATGTCTTAATTAATAAATGGCTAGATTTGCTAATTCACACAGGAGAGATTATATAAATATTGTGTGCTGAAAAATGCATGCCTGCATGAAAATAGCAGTTTAGACATTATAAACCTAACTTAATTTAACTGCTGTAGCAGCTACAACAACAACAACAACAACAATCATATCAACTGTGTTATTCTAAATGAGCCAATTATCCATAAAATACATTGTTTAATGACTAGAAAATCTTTTATGTGTATATATTACTAGCAAATACATTCTGCAACACAGCAAAACATCAAGTTTCACTACACTGAAAATGCCTATATTTCCAAAATATAAATCACATTTGTCCTGTTCAATTGTTAGTTCTTCTTCATTTAAATACAGGACAATAGTGAATATTTACATACTGATTACTACAGCATCAATCCTTTGCTGAAACATCAAAACATATAATGTGTGGTCCATATGAGCAATAGGCTACTATGGTGCTTGTTCGAATCCCATGGCCGGTGAATCTTGGGCCCTTTAGAGATCTCTGGAATGAGCTTGCCAATCACTTTTTTTACCAATGTAACCAATCTGAAACCACACACTCCCCAATTCCTTCAATGCATAATTTATCCGTAATTTAAGATGCATTTCTCTAAAAATTATCATTTTCTATATAAATCTTATAAAAAATAAGCTAAATTTATAGTATATTGCTTAACACAGGGTGCAAAAATAAAATTTATCAATTTATAAACTGCTTTTTACAAAATTTAAATTTCATTTTTTAGCTCGACTATTCGAAGAATATGAGAGCTATTGTAGTCGCGTCAGCGTCAGCGTCCGCGTCGGCGTCTGCGTTGGTTAAAGTTTTTTGTAAAGTCAAATATCTCAATTATTGCTTGAGATATTCAATTGAAACTTACAATACTTATTTATAGTAACAAGGTACATTAGATTGACAAGTTCGATAACTCTGCCTACAATATTGACAGAATTATGCCCCTTTTTAACTTAGAAATTTTGGTTAAAGTTTTTTGTATAGTCAAATATCTCAATTATTGCTTGAGATATTCAATTGAAACTTACAATACTTATTTATAGTAACAAGGTACATCAGATTGACAAGTTCGATAACTCTGCCTACAATATTGACAGAATTATGCCCCTTTTTAACTTAGAAATTTTGGTTAAAGTTTTTTGTATAGTCAAATATCTCAATTATTGTTTGAGATATTCAATTGAAACTTACAATACTTATTTATAGTAATAAGGTACATCAGATTGACAAGTTGGATAACTCTGCCTACAATATTGACAGAATTATGCCCCTTTTTAACTTAAAAATTTTGGTTAAAGTTTTTTGTAAAGTCAAATATCTCAATTATTGCTTGAGATTATTCAATTGAAACTTACAGTACTTGTTTATAGTAACAAGGTACATCAGATTGAGAAGTTGGATAACTCTGTCTATAATATTGACAGAATTATGCCCCTTTTTAACTTAGAAATTTTGGTTAAAGTTTTTTTGTATAGTCAAATATCTCAATTATTGCTTGAGATATTCAATTGAAATTTACAATACTTTTTTATAGTAACAATGTACATCATTTTGCAAAATTGCATAACTCTGTCTGCAATATTTGCAGAATTATTTGCCCCTTTGAAACTTAGAAATTTTGGTTAAAGGTTAAAGTCTTCAAAGATATTTACTTGAAACTTTACACATGTACTTAGGGTCATAATTTGAGGGTCATAACTGTATGTCACTGACCAAGTTCCATAACTCTATCTAGTATTAAGGCTGATTCATATCCCCTTTTCTACTTTGTCTCCTGGTTAATGTTTACATGCAAGTTTTACATATCTCAATAACTATTAAAGATATTTATTTAAAACTTCACATATGCATTTAGGGTCAGAATTGTAGGTCACTGACAAAGATCCATAATTCTATCTTGCATTTAGGCTGATTTTTCTTCCCTTTTTCAACTTAGAAATTCATGGTAAAGTTTTGCTTGTAAGCTGTTATCTCCATAACTACTGAAAGGTTTGTGCCTTTTTTGGGACAATTTTATGCATTCATAATAATAAAGCAGTGATTTACTTGATAAAAAATCTTAATAACAAGCCTTTTGTACCTTTTCTGTCAATTTTATGTATGCATAGGTAATTAGTATTATTATACTCAATAAAACACCCTTGTGACATTACCTTCATAATAGTCAAGCCAATACTGTATAATTAGACTCTTTCTAAGGCCTATAACATGAATTTATAAAAAAAAATAGTCCTTTTGTGAACTTAGGAAATTTAACATTATCAAGGCTCTTTTACTATCAAGCACTTAGAATAGTCGAGCGTGCTGTCCTACCGACAGCTCTTGTTAGTTCTAAATTTATTTTTACAGTTTTAATTCAATAAAATGTGGTTAATCTTTCATGCAAAAGCTCTGTACCCTTCTCCCTGCTTACTGACACAGTAGCAGACATCTACATTTGAAGGGGAGATAACAACAACAACATATGTCCCAATTTAAAATGTCAAAATTTAAAATTTGAAATAAAATTTAAAATTTTCAAACCTGTCAGTAATCCTTTATTTTCCTGACTTCTATTCATAAACACAACACTGATGCAAAGTTTCATCCATATCCATCAACCAGTTCCAATTTTTGACATTTCTTATCTTGGACTCGGTCCGGTGAATTTTCGTACTATTAGTTCTATAGTAAATCAGTCAAATTTAAGGTTTAATTCTGGATTCCACTGTTCTTGATGAATTATATACTGTCTTCAACTTTAAACATTAACACTATCTAAGTCAAATGATGCCCAAAATATAATAGGTTAGCCATCTACTTTTTTCAGAAATCTTCATTCTGTTGTAACACTGTTTAAATTCACCACTTTAAAAACTCCTGACAGCTGGTGGGTAGTACATCTTTAATCCTTCCACCAACAAATGAGTTCCTGGAGAATACACAAAAAACAACTTTTAAAGTCATCATATAACACACAAAAACTACACACATGCAATAAATACACTTTAATTATGACCAATCTAACTAGAGATGACTTAAATTGGGCCATTTCATAATTTTAAAGAACTACTTTCTAGACTACAATGGGTTCGGTCTAATTCCGTACCGGGTTGAGACCGATATTATACATTATACTCGTACGTATAAGTTATATAACTGTGCCATCCATTTTTCCCAGTTATTTCCCTTGTTCACTTTCAAAAAAGTGCCTTGTATGGTTAAGCTTTTCAGACAAGTTAGATTTATCTTTAACTTCTCCTAATAACTTAATTTATTTATTGATATATTTCACATTTGGTAGCTGGAAACATTTAATGGTCCTATATTTTTGTAGAGTTAGGGGTCTCTAGGGTCAAGGTCACTGGTGTAAGAAATATATTTAAAAATTTTTGCTCATACAGCCTTAATTTTGAAGTTAATGTATTTCACGTTTCAAACAAACATGCCAAGTCTTCTTTCGGAATAGGTTAGGGGTCATTTGGGCCAAGGTCAAGGTCACTCATATCAAATTTATATTTAAGTACTTTAACAGGTGTTACCCTTATTCTATTGACACATGTCTTTTATATTTGGTAGGAACATAAAATTGAGCACTTCTCCTTTGGATGGAGTCAATGTCACTAGTGTTGAAAGTAGATTATTAAACTTTTGCTCACAGAGCCTTTATTTATTGACATGTGTATTTCATATTTGGTAGGAAGATAACTTGCATGATATTCTTCCTTTTGATTGAGGTACGGACCAGTGTGTCAGGATCACCAGTGCTTAAACTAGATTTTCAAACCTTTGCACACAAAGCCTTTATTTATTGACACATGTATTTCATATCTGGTACGAAGATAACTTTCAAGATGTTCTTTTGTTTGATTGAGTTAGGGGGGGTCAGTTGGGTCAAGGTCACAAGTGTTAAAAATTGATTTTTACACTTTTGCACTTATAGCATTTATTTATGGACAGATGCCTTTCATAATTGGTAGGATGATAACTTGCATGGTATTCTTCCTTTCGATTGAGTAAGGTGTCAGTTGGACAATGTTAAGGGTGGCAACAATAGATTACTACACATTTTCTTAAACAGCCTTTATTTTTTGACTGATGGTTTTCATATTTGAAAGGATGATAACTTGCCACTTTTGACTTGACTGAGGGGTCAGTTGGATCAAGGTCACCAGTGCTAAAAATTGATTTTAACGCTTTTGCCCATAGAACCTTTTTTTTTATAGACAAATGTCTTTCATATTTTGTAAGAAGATATCTTTCAAGGTCAAGGGTGTCAAAATATATTTTTACTTATTTGCTTATACAGCCTTTATTTATAGACTGGTGTTGTTCATATTTGAAAGGAACATAGCTTGGATGGTCCAGTGCTGGGAGTTTCAAGACCAATGTCCAGTGTGCTAACAATAGATTGTTTACACTTTTTATACAGCCTTTGAAATTTTAACCCATGTCTCATATTTACAAGGCACATACCTTAGGTGTCCTTTAAGTTTGTATGGAGACTGGGGTCACCGGTTTTCAATGTAGAGTCTTGCATTTACATATATTTTGATAAGAATGAATATTTTTCAACTTCATCACAAGTCATCGCAATGATTTACCAACTTATAAACACCAGGACTCTATATATTAGGTTATATTACTGTTTGAAGTTTTTTGTGGCAATTTTTCTGTAAACACTGAGTGAATGGGTAAAGAATTTTTGATAATAAAGTAACTGACAAGAATCTCAGCTGGGGGCATTTGTGTTTAACAAACAAGTTCTTGATTATCTTCAGATTTGTCATATATCGACCACTACAGGGATACAACATAATGACTTTATTTCAAAGTGGAAAGAAATCGAACAGGTATATACATGTATTAAATTTTAAATGCACATTATGCCACATAAACTATTTTTTCTCACTTTCTAAGAAAGGGTTAACATGCATTTTATACTGTTTAAAAAAATTGTTTAAGAAAATGTACCTGCTTGTTACCTGAAAAGAGTAGCGATTAATGTGAAAAAATTGGCATAAAAGTAGCAACATATAAACAAAGTAGTATTCGGATTTCAATACAAAATACTAATTTACTAACTGTAACTATTACCAAAATCAACAGACGAAAAGATGTTTCAGTTATTTGGCCAATGGGTAAGTTATTGGATTCTATAAAAGTACATCAATCTTAAAGGCATAATGGACCTTATATAATTATTTTAAACTTATGATACAGTGCTTGTGTAATAATTTCTTTATCACTTCTGAAACCGAAAAATAAATTTTTGGTCACAAGCATGGTCAGTCTGCATAACAGTGCTCAGTTACTGAAAATAACGTTCTATTTTTTTTATTTACAATTCATCATATCATTTTTTATCTAAAACATTTTCCAGTGGTAGAATAAATCTGTTAGTGTCATTCTAACACATGAGATAGAGAAGATTGAGAAGATCTGAATTCATCCAGATTATAATTTACTTTACCTATATCATCAGGCCAGGACTGCAAATCTCAAATGCAAGAATATTGTACTTTTGCTTGAGAAGAAAATATCTAAATATATTTACCTTCTTGACAACGCTAGCCAATTATCAGTAACATAATTATCATGCCTGTACGCTTTGCAGATTCTCCTTAGATTCGATAAAATGTATCCAATAAAAGACTTTCAACAGACGATTACAGACTTTGGATCCATCCCTCTTGATCCAAAAACAGAACAAAGGGTAACAGATGAAATTGAAAAATGGGAAAAACACGATAAGGATCTAGAGCTTCTGAAAGCAGATTTTGAAGTTTTGAAGGAGACTGTTGAAGACTTAAAGACAAAAGGTAAGCATACTCATATTTTGTTGATATAAGGAATTATAATTATATTGGATATTAATGCGTTGCTATTTTGATTTTGACAATCTAAAGATGAGCTTAAATGAAAACATGTGGGGCAATTGCACAAAATTGTTCAAAATTGGTAATAGCATAGGTGTGAACTAATAATACGTGTTTAATTGGCATGTCAAACCCCACATTTTCTAAATGGTATATATTTGCGACTTAGACGGACCTGATTTTGCGTGCATCATTTGACCTTTTAATTCTTAACATAAATTGTATATATGTAAGGGGTTTGGTCTACATTACTGATTCAAACTTCCTCTAATTATGGGTTTGTATCAAATAATGCTTATAGAAAATAATCGTGTTCGGACAAAAATGTACGCCAATGCTCTCCCACTCACCAAGAGGGGACCCACGATATGACACGTTTTTATTTGAATTGGTATATATAATATAAATTAAAGCAATCAAGTTTCCTTGTAACAGGATCTTCAGTTAAAAAGCTTTCAAATACTTTTCAAATACTTACAATTGAATGATGCATTTAAAATAAACAAAAATCTGGAAACAAAGTAATAAAAACTAATAAATTTAAAGACTTGAAAGAAACGTTTTCAAATATTATAATTTGTATAAAAAGATAGGAACGGTCTTTGAAATAAATTTTAATCGATTTTAATCCGTTCATATCAATAAAGTGATGATTATCAATTTCATATTGACATTGTCATATATATTGACATATTATATTGATGACTCAAACAATAAGATATTTAACAGCATTTTACAATTCTAAAAACTAATATTGAATATCATTTTGTGTAACCATATTTGTTTTAGATGAAAGAAGGCATGAACACAAGAGGAAGGGAAACATTTTTAAGAGGTTTTCTGAGTGGATAAGTTATCGTAAGATGAAAAAAGGTAACTGACTCAGACAAGTCTATCTAATGATACTTTGTGCAATCGGATCACCTCGGCCATTATTTATAATGACCTCTGACTTAATATGGATTGAAAATATTAATCGATGTAATAAAAAAAGGGTCTGCAATTTTGATGTAGTTTGGTTGTGTTTAATGCTTCTAATTCAGATTTTGATAACGCCTGGACTTTCTTATGTGTAAAATGACTGATATACCTGGTTGAATGTCGTTTTGTTGAGTCCGAGATACAATATGCTGGGTCATTATTCCAATATGCTGGGTGGAAATCCCAAATGTGCTCAGTTATTGAAGTGTTATGCTGTGTGATCATTATATTTTATTAAGCCAAGTCAAAATATATGTTCACTAATTGATTTGTTTACTGTCTACATTTATGCTAGCATTGCGTAAGATACGCATAGAGAGATGCCACCGGACCAGTGCTCTTAGTAATACATGCACATAAAATAAAATATACGACCAGTGCTCGACCAGTATTTCACAAAATCTCATAATGACTCTTTCAAAACTAAATGATTGCTAGTAAACTTCTTTTTGGTGCAAAGCTTGACCTTATAAACTCACAACTAATTGTTTGTTTTACTTCCTGTAGCATTATGTGATCGAACATCATAAAGACAACGGTAAACTGGTATCACTGTTTCAAATATGTCTTATTTTGTTTTACATATCTCTCATATGTATTGCATACAATATCAAATCATTAAAATATTCTAGTTCATTTGGAAATTATACTACATTGTAGTTAGTAATAAACGGGATACAATATTATCAGAACGGAACTTAACGTTTAAAGAAAATATTGATCAACATTGCTCTTCTCTATTTTCAGAACTTCAAGGCGACCTTATTAAATTCTACAGAAACAGGTGTAGTTCAATACCTCTCTCTCCGCTGGTTGAAGAAGTTGAAACACCTCTAGCTGGGTTCTACGTGATGCCAGATTTAGTTGCCATTAAACAGTCTAAGTCTTTTTCAAGTGACGTGGAGGAGAAAACGCCAGTCAAATCTTTACGGGACCTGTTTTCGGTTGGGAGCGGTAATCAGCGAGAAATGTATTTATCAGCAGACGCAGGCTTTGGAAAAACTGCTTTTTCAAAATACCTTACAGTCACGTGGTGCCAGGCTCATCATCAAGACAAAAACTATTATTTTTTTAAAGATGAGGAGTTAAAAGCTCTTTCTGACTTTGAGTTCTTATTTTTGGTATTATTAAGAGATTGTTCTGATATCTGTAGCATAGACAAAATGATTGAGCAGCAAATCATTGAACAACTTCCTACGTCAGTATCACTAGAAGACATTTTACGTAAAGAAACGTGCTTGATTATATTAGACGGTCTTGATGAATGGATCCATCCTGAAAATGGTTGTTCCAGACGAAATGAAAAAATCCCACATCGGTACGTACGTGAAAAGTGTGTTATCCTAACGACTACGCGTCCATGGAAATTTGGAGTTTCAAATCTTACAACAAGTCAGATTAACAAGATAGAGATGGTTCAACTTAGTGAAGATTCTACGAGGCAACTTGAGAAAAATGCTATAAGTAAAATGACCGGTATTCCTGATGGTGACGTATTGACGAGTAAAATACGGGACTTAAATAAAGTGATACTTGATTGTGACCTTCAACACATGCAAAAGATTCCACTCCTCCTCATGTTTATCACTTGCCTTTGGTGCAACGGAATTCCCATAGGAAACTCGAAATGTGATGTTTACACCCACATCATTGAATTTCTTTTATCAAGAACAGCAAAGAAACACCCGGAAATTCAACCATCTTGTGATTATTCTGCCTGCGATGTCCCAGAATATTTCAGAAATCAGAGCTTTATTAAAAAGTTTATCTCCCTTATAAAATCATTATCAGAGCTAGCTTATCAAACATTATTTAATAAAACAAAAGAAAACACGCTGGTATTTGACAGATCGGTTGCTGAAACATATCTCAAAGCAGACGACATAAAAATAAGCCTTTTCTCAGGAATATTGTCAGAAAGTAGGACTAAGACATTAATAAAAGAAATAACTAAAGTGTCATTTTGCCACAAAACAGTTCAGGAATTCTTTGCCGCCATATTTATAAGTTCACACAGTGACGTTCAGAAAATTGTTCTAGAAAGATGTAAAAATGTTCAAGACATTATGGACATGTCAATACTTTATGAATTTACAAGTAAAATAGATGCTGACCAGATGTGTGCAATATCTAATGATTTGATGTCTGTGATAAATGAACTCGAGAAAACACGCGATTATAGAACTAGGACAGGTCGCGAGAACTTAAGCAATAATCCATTGTATGACATACAGAAAATGTTTATGTCGTTTTTACAAGAAATGCCTGAAAGTGAAAATATTCATTTATGTTTACAAGATTTCTTCATTGACTACGACACCGAGGACAGTAAGCAGTTACAACGTTTGTTAAAACAAAATAAAACTAACATAAAATCACTTTATATAGACATCTCCTTGTCTCTCAACAGTTTAAGTGAAATTACACATGTAGATTCTTTCTCTCTCACAGATCTCAGTCACATACAGAAACTTTACTATTCGGGTGACAAGACGAAGGAGGCTGAGATAAATCGGATATTGTTTCCCAGTTTACAGTACGTATCTTTGTGGCGTGGTAACTGGACAAATGATGAACAAAATCTGAGTGAAAATTTGGCGCAACTACAAAACTTACAATATTTATATATCTGGGACTTTACGTTATCTCACAAAATACTGGAAACATTTTTCAATTTTATCTCCGATCAAAAATCAATGAAAGAGTTAACATTGAACGAGTTACACTGTAAAGAACATGGCCGCAATAAGTGTAAGGGATTGAACTTGGACTTTTCTCAACATTCAACTCTGTCAAAGTTACATTTGCGGCAGTTACCTAGGCTACAATTAAATACATCAACACCATCATTAGTTGATGTTAGGTTGTACGACATCCAGTCTGATTAAAATCAGCTCGAAATAACGCTCCGCTTTTAGATCTGGTCGCGACCATATACGACATTATTTCTGGTGACTATTCACACAGCCAGTCATCGGCAAACTTTCATAAATTTGATGGCGATGTGGTTTCTTATTTAAACCCTAGGAAAACTAAAACTGAGCCAACAGGTAAACTGGCAAAACAATCTTGCCTATTAAAAATTGACTCTATTTTTTCAAGTAATTTGTTAAAATTACTTCAAACATTTTTTATAACAAAAATCAACACTTTGTTTAACTTCCAAGGAGAAGAGTATTTTGATACTTCTTTCAATGACTATGTAAAAACCCGTTTGATTGCATGGCTAAAAATAGCTTTATCGGGAAATCCGAATAATAAATAAGGCGAAACATATACGGTCGTCATCAGATCTACATAAAAGAAATAAGTAGATCTTAACTTTAGTCAGATTGTATGACATCAATCTAGATGAAAGTTTCATTGTTACTGTCAGACACAAAGTTGAATATTTAGGATAGAAATGTCTGCAGGAAGTTTACAGAAATAGAACTTTATTGCCGTGTTGGAAAATCTGCCGCAGTCAGTTACAGTAAAGATGGCCGCCATAGAACCGGAAACAGAATATGAATATAGAGAAAATATTCGGTAATCACAAACTTTTCATGTGATAGAAGATGACAACGACGACCGGGGTAGGATTGGAATCCAGTAAAGAATAAACAAGAAAAAATATTTAAAACATAATGAAGAAATGACTGCAAGACTTTGAAAAAAGTAAAAAAAATTAAAAAAAACCTTAAATACATAATTGTGATTGATGAAACGTAATTTAATGTTCGATATTAAGCATTTAAACAAGTCATTTTCTTATTAATCCAACTGACAGTTGTATATAAATAAAGTGATTTAAATGATAGAAAATGTGTGTATAGGAAATATTTTTACGAAACTTAATGGATAGTTGGATAAGGAAATATTTAACAGATAAGAGATTTATAGTGATTAGTTTACACATTTTTTTATTTTTGTAAATACTCATATGAGCCGTGTCACGATAAAACCAACATAATAGGTTTGCGACCAGCATGGATCCAGACCAGCCTGCGCATCCAGTCTGATCAGGATCCATGCTGTTCGCTATCAGTTTCTCTACTTGTAATAGAGTTGGTAAGCGAACAGCATGGATCCTGATCAGACTGCGCGGATGCGCAGGCTGGTCTGGATCCATGCTGGTCGCAAAGCCATTATGTTGGTTTTGTCATGACACGGCTCAAATAGATTTCTTTAAAGTTAATCACATTCTAAAATGTGCTTTAAGTTAAAAACAAGCATGAATTTTAACATAAATATTGAGGAATTACACTTTTATTATATTTTCATAAAACTTTGGATCCAAAATGTGAAATAGATTTTAAAATTTAATTAAAACATTTATGAAACATAGATAGTAATGGACACATGTATATTTTACGTGAGCACTTGAACTATAACCCACACCTCACCTCCATAAAGAAAATACACACATAATCAATTTATTTATGCAGTATGTGAAATTAAATTAAATCTTTAGAATAGGTTAAATGTTTATTATATTAAAGCATTTACATAATCACACTTATTATATCCAGTTATAATTAATTGAAATTTGTGGAATAATTGCAATTTTAAGTACATAAAATGTTTCATTTTTCTTATTTCCGCTAAATTAGGATGTTAAATGTTATAGTAAGGATCTATTTTTTCGTATTTCCAAATACAAGGCAAGGAATAAAGTTTCCATATCATTAATATGTTTAGCTTGGAGGAATATTTGTATTTAATGGAACACACCGGCAGCGCAACTTTACTTTTTTATATTTCTTCCAAACTTTAAGGTATGACCACTCTAAAAGGACACTTTAAGGAACTGAAAAAATGACAACATTGGTCAGATTTATGCCTTAAAAGACACTTTTATGCACAATTTAAACTTTACCGTACAGTAAACGAGTTATGGTCACTTTTAATGAATTTAGGCTGAGGTTTTACATTTGGGCCTTTTTTCAGAATATGGAATCTTTGAATAGTCTATATAATTATACCTCAATATATCTTTCAATGTTAAACTTCCATAGGATTATCATGTGTTCTGATTGAATATCACCCTCCAAAAATGCATAACCACGGGAATATTTCTTATATCATCCTGGGGCACATAACTATTGCTGAACTCCATATTCAGCTAATATTTAAGTTTAACTAGAATTTGTTACAATATGTTTTTAGTGTAAGGGAGATAACACCTCAACTTTATATAGAAATGTATAAATCATTCTCGAACTGTTTTTTGTTCAACTTATTGTTTTGAGCAAAATTAAATTGTAAAAATGATGATGTGTATTCTATTTATTTCCTTGACTGCGTACTTTATAAATATTGTAGTTATAGGTTTGGTCTTTCAGAATGATAAAATGAATAGCACATGGCTGTCGGTGTGATAGTGATAATCCACTTCTCGGGTTGATAATATTCTCTATCACCCTGACAGTCGTGTTTTTAATATAATATTATCCGTATGTGAGAAGAAATGTTTTCTCGTTAATTATTGTTAAGAAACAAATAAAAGCATTTAGCAAAAGCCTTAAATAATGTGTTGTTAGGGTAACATGCTCTCCAGTAATAAGTATGGAAGGTCGGATTTTTATGCTCCCCGAAAAATTTCGGGGGAGCATATAGTCGGCGCCTTGTCCGTCCGTCCGTCCGTCTATCCCCACTCACAGGACAGTAATTATGTGGCTAGAGGGACAATAGGTAACTGTTCTTTCTCTTTGATGTCATTCATTCCGTAATGCTTTTATGTGGCTATTTTCTTTTGTGTGGCTAAAAAGAACAATAGAGAGAACAAAAGAGTAGCCACATTATTACTCTCCTGTTAGAACGTCCGTCTGTCCGTCCGTTGTCTTGTCCGGAGTATAACTTGAAAACCCTTGGAGATAATTTGTTTAAACTTCATACAGTGGCAGAGGGCATTGAGGGGGAGTGCAGTGTCAAAGAACCATAACTCTATTTTGCCCGGTTTTTGAATTATCTCCCCTGATAGAAAAATCTTGTCCGGGACATAACTCTTAAAGTATAAGAGATATCAACATGAAACTTTGTAGGTGAATAGATCTCAATGGGTAGATGTGCAATGCAAAAGAACCATAACTCTGTTAAGCCTCATTTTTTAATTTGAGCAAACTTGATAAAACACTACCCAAGAATGCTACAGACAAAGTTTGGTGATCATCCATCAATTAGTTCTGTAGGAGAATATGTTAAAGGTTTTTTTATTTTTAGCCCTTGAGACCCCTGAAACCGGGCAATCAAAATAATATTAGCAAACTTGATAAAAGACTACCTAAGTATGCTACAGACAAAGTTTGGGGATCATCCATTCATCAGTTCTGTAGAAATAGACGAAATAGGTTTTTATATTTTTAGCTTTAGTGACCCATAAAAGGGGCCAATCAAAATAATATGAGCAAACTTGATAAAAGACTACCTATAAGAATACTATAGACAAAGTTTGGTGATCATCCATTCATTAGTTCTGTAGAAGATGTTTAAAGGTTTTTCTATTTTAAGCCCTAGAGACCCTTAAAAGGGGCCAATCAAATTAATATGAGCAAACTTGATAAAAGACTACCTATAAGAATACTATAGACAAAGTTTGGTGATCATCCAGTAATTAGTTCTGTAGAAGAAGATGTTTAAAGGTTTTTCTATTTTTAGCTCTGCTTACCTCAATTAGAATGACATGAGCAAATTCCAGTGTGACTGTCACAAGGATCCTACAGACCAAATTTGAAGTAAATCTGCTTAGCAGTTTCAGAGAAGAAGACGATTGTTGACGCATGCCGACGGACGACGGAGCATCCCCCTTTGATACTAATAGCTCACCCTGAGCCTTCGGCTCTGGTGAGCTAATAAAAGGACCAAAAAATAAATAGCACTGAAACGCTTTTCGCTCAAAACCGGTTTAGAATTGTACAAAATCCATTTCCGAATAACATCTGAGTAAACTTCTTTGTTATCATTTTGCAGATTTGTCAATTTTAAGTGTTTCACTTGATGTTCGTTTGATTTTGAAATATAATGTGTTAAGGCATTTGGACCGGAGTGGAACTCATTTAATACAATATAAAGAAGAATAACTTGTTTATCTGTTACTGTTAATGATTTTATCATCATTTAGATCGGCCGGGTAAAAGTAGGCATTGGCAAGGGCAGTGGTCTATGGAAAGCCTTGACTGTCTTATAATTATAAACCTAAACGTTGTTATGTCCTAATAGCAATATATTGAGTCAACCTTTCCTTATACAATGTGCACTCATTAATATATTATGTGGATCCATTTTTATATGTAGTCAACTGAACAATATATGATGTCAACGTGCTTTTATATGATGTCAATCTATCATTATACTTTGCTTTTTTTGAATATATTTGTGGATTTTCCTTTTTATAAGGTCAATTAACAATATTTGTCAAGCTTTTATATGATGTCAGTCTGTTTTTATATGATATGAAGTTATGAATATATTATGTGGAATAAGTCTTATATAGAGTCAACATTAAATGATGTCAACGCGCCCTTATATGATGTCAATCTATCAATATACGATGTGTATTTTTCAGTATATTATGTGAAACCATCTTTATATAGAGTCAACTTAACAATATATGATGTCAATGTTTCCTTATATGATGTCAGTCTTTCATTATACGATGTGCATTAATGAATATATTATGTGGAACCATCTTTATATAGAGTCATAATAACATAATAACAGTATATGATGTAGAATTGTCTTTATATAGCGTCGACTTAACAATATATGATGTAAATGTGTCGTTATATAATGCCAGTCTTTCATTATATGAAGTGCAATTACGAATATATTATGTGGAACCGTTCTTATATAGAGTCAAAACAACATTATATTAATATGTAGAATCGTCTTTATATATAGAGTCAACTTAACAATATATGATGTCAACACGTCCTTATATGATGCCAATCTTTCATTGATGTGCATAAATGAATATATTATGTGGCGGTCGGTCTATTTACCCCAAGACACCCCAAGACACCCCAAGACACCCCAACTCTACCCCAAGACACCCCAAGAACTAGGAAGCGATGATCGTCCCAAATTATAAAGACAAAAATACAGTGCACATGCATTTAAATGTTCATGCTGAGAATATGAAAAGTTAATGAATTTGTATGCATATTGTTTGACTTTTTGTAGCAATGCCTTTAACAGACAGAAAATAAAAACTGACAAGTAAATTTTAGAAATGCCGGAAATGTGTGAATTAATAATAGATCGATCACTGGAGTATACCAGGTATATTCGGGAAGAATAGTATAAACTGTTTTCAGACCTATCTATACATGCATGTCGTCTTTGAAATGTACATATAATGTTATACACAATGCTGTATAAGTAGCAATATAATATTTGTTATTGAACATTTTATTTGTGTACTTACTTGTCTTTCTATTTGCTGCATCGTATGTGTTACATAACAGATACATTTTTTTACCAACTCATGAATTGTCTTGTTCAATAATCGACTCTCAAAACCATTGAAAGTAAAAAATAAATAATATCATTATGTTTGTTAATAAAAGTGAATTCGAGTGTCACTGTTTGTTGCCATGCCATTTTGTTGAAAAAAAAATAGACTTTGTTTACATATTTTGTTAAAAAAAAGAGATTAAATGTTCTTATATTCTGTTGAAATCATTGTTTTTTTATTCCAAGTGAAATATATCTTTAAAATTATACATTTGTTAATTGACCATTGTACTTTTCCTACTTTTCAAACATTAATTGTCGCTGCAATGTAATTCAAGCTATATTTTAGTTAACACATACAAACACATACAAACAAACATATTATTAAAATATGATTGAAGAAACACAAGAATTACATCTTATTTTTTTTATTCCAACCTGTTTCACAACTCCATGGAGTTAATTCCAATAATGATATCGGTTGTACCTAGTTACTCCCCTGAGATTATCTCCTACAGGGTCGTATATTTATAAAACTTTTCCAATTTATAAGTTAATTTCCATTAAGAAGATTCTTGAGATGTCTTGCGGTAGTCTTAAGGTGTCTTGGGGTAGTTTTTGGGTGTGTTGGGATAGTCTTGGGGTGTCTTAAGGTGTCTTGGGGTAGTCTTTGGGTGTCTTAAGGTGTCTTGGGATAGTCTTGGGGTCTCTTGGGATAGTCTTGGGGTAGTCTTGGGGTGTCTTGGGGTAGTCTTGGGGTAGTCTTGGGGTAGTCTTGGGGTGTCTTGGGGTAGTCTTGGGGTGTCTTGGGATAGTCTTGGGGTGTCTTAGGGTGTCTTGGGGTAGTCTTTGGGTAGTCTTAGGCTGTCTTGGGGTAGTCTTGGGGTAGTCTTGGGGTGTCTTGGGGTAGTCTTGGGGTGTCTTGGGGTAGTCTTGGGGTGTCTTGGGGTAGTCTTTGGGTGTCTTGGGATAGTCTTGGGGTGTCTTGGGGTGTCTTGGGGTAGTCTTGGGGTGTCTTGGGATAGTCTTGGGGTGTCTTGGGGTAGTCTTTGGGTGTCTTGGGATAGTCTTGGGGTGTCTTGGGATAGTCTTGGGGTGTCTTGGGATAGTCTTGGGGTGTCTTAGGGTAGTCTTTGGGTGTCTTAGGCTGTCTTGGGATAGTCTTGGTGTGTCTTGGGGTAGTCTTGGGGTGTCTTGGGGTAGTCTTGGGGTGTCTTGGGGTAAATAGACCGACCCATTATGTGGAACCATCTTTATATAGAGTCAAGTTAACATTATAAAAGTAAGAAATATTACATACCTAACAATTAACGCAAATAAAAGCATATGTTGTGCCTTGATGTGTTGAAAAAAATGAGAGGGTACCTGTGATATAAAAATCCAATTGAAGAGAGGTAGCCCGTGTCGCTGCAAAACCGAAAGTATGGTGTTTTATGAATTTTACATTCATTTTTGACAATATACTGCCATTTGTCCGAAGATGATATGTAAATGAACATACTAAATATGCATGATGCATATATAATCAAGCCACAGGTTCATTTCAGCCCGAAAAGTATATGTCGAGGTGATGGGCAAGGCAAGACATGTCGATTTTATGTAGCTTATTGTGAAGTTGCGGGCACATGACAAATCAGCACATAAATAAAACATTCTAGTGTTCCGTGGTATACATCTTTTCTACCTGTCATACCTCCTTTCCTTATTACATTGAAATTTTACTGGATCCATCGCCGGTTTGTTTTGAGCAGAGAGTGACCTGTGCATGTTCAGAGGGTACCATTTGAGCAGATTTCGCAAAGAGGGTACCAATATGGATA